AGAGGTGGCCAGACATAATATTTCAGTTGCTTCCAAACCAACAAAACCAAGTGGGTACATGATACCAGCTTGTCACTCAGATATAAAGTGCATCCACTTATGTTATTGTTCAGTCGCTAAGTCGCGTTCAACTTTTTGTGACCGCATGGACTGCAGCATACCAGGCTCCTCTGTTCTCCACTATCTCCCGGAGTTGCCCAAATTCATGTCCACTGAGTGGGTGATGCTTTCTATCTCATCCATGCATATCTGGGATCTGATAGACATTGTTTTATTGCTCTTCCAATGGGTGTAGGCTAAAGTTTTAGACTCAATTTATGAGTTGCATTCTGTCAGGTCAGAGTCAAGAGAAAAGACTCCAGACACGGTCATGGTGAACAAGGCAGAGTAAGGATGTGGGGCGACAAGAAGCCTGTGGACCATGCGTTGTTTCTCTGGTTCCCTCTGAAAACAGCAGAGCCAGTGATGGTGTCCCATTCAGGGAAACCATTTTTCTATCTGTGAAGAAGCACGTAATGCACACACCAATTACCTCACCTTTTCGCTAACTGATCACGTGTCCCGACACCTAAGACCACGCTCTCTCTTTGTCCCCTAAATATCACAAGCACCTGGCCTTCAGGAAGGTAGATATGAGACTGTCTCCTGGCTTGGCTGCATTGTGAATGAACTTCCTCCCCTGCAACCCTTGGCATGTCAGCATTTGGTTCCTTGCACCTCTGTTGCGGTAAAAACTTAATATTCATAGCATGGAATTGCCCACAGTTGGAGTACTCATATCAGGGAAATTGGCAAACACAACCATCAAAAGTGGGGTGGGTATATTTTTTATATGTGTCTAGACATAAAGTAATGGAAACTGTGTTAATAATGAGGAAGGACTATACTTGGTGAATAATATTGTGAGCACATTTATTCCATCCAGCAAAGTCACTGAAAAAAAGTTCCAGCAAATTTTTGCTTTCTCAGTTACTAATAAAAGACTCACATTTTATCATAGACACACACCTGGCAAATGAATATAAGAATGAATCATTCAGGAACTTCAATCAGCATAGTGAGATACAGCTATATTTTATTTTTGGCTTCACTGGGTCTTCACTGCTACAGTCTTTCTCTAGTTTCAGAGAGGAGGGGCCACTCTGATTGAGCTGCAAGAGCTTTTCATGTTGCAGAGGAAGGGCTCCAGGGCACCTAGGGCTCTAGGTGCGTGGGCTTCAATAGTTGCAGCAAACATGCTCAGTAGTTACATCATGTGGGCCCTAGAGCATGCAAGTTCAGTAGCAGTGGTGCGCCAGATTAGTTGCCCCACATGAATAATCTTCCCAGGAGAGGGATCAAACTCATGTTCCATACACTGGTAGGCTGACTCAACCACTAGACCACCAGGGAAGTCTACCGCTACACTTTTTAATGAGGTAATACTCAAAATACTGGCCATATCAACCAACTACTAGTGAAGAATACAAGAAAACTGGAATGCTCCAATATCGATGGGATGGCAATAGGGTATCATCATTGACTTTTGAGTATGAAACCACATGGTCATATAATTTTATGTATCTCTTCATATTATCTGTAATAAGCAAAATCACACACTTTTAAAGATTAATGGAGGGACTTCCCTGGTGTCCAATAGTTAAGACTCCACACTCCCAGTGCGGGGAGCCCAAGATCAATCCCTGGTCAGGGAACTAGACTCCAAGTGATGCATCCAAGAGGTCCCATGGTACAACTAAATATACTGTGTACCTCATCTAACACCAGGCACAACAAAATACATTAAAAAAAAGAAAAAAGACAGGTAAACAGTCAATGGGTGGTATATCCAAATAGTGTATTTTTCAGAAAAAAAGAATTACTCGTAACAGCAAATCATTCTCCAAGTAATTATGCATCATGAAAAAATATATAAAAGTAAACATTAAGACCCCAATGATATTGTCTAGAAATTACAAAGAAAAATTACATAGGAAAAAAGTAAATCAATACTAGTTGCCTGGGACTTCTAAAATGGATGTTAGGTGCATATGGGAGTGATGGATGTTTGTAATGATGATGATGGTTCTGTGGATTTACACATATTAAAACTTACCAAGGTGTACATTGTAGGGCTTTTCATTTCAATGCATACCAACTAAACAGCACAATTAAATTTTAGTAGAAATTGACACCACATAAAAATCTGAATTTTTTCCCCACAGCTGGGTGGCTTGCAGATCTCAGTTCTCTGTCCAGGGATCAAACTCAGGCTCCTGGAGGTGAGAGAGCAGAGTCCAGACCACTAGGGAAATCCCCTGAAACTGATTCTGAAACTCCTTTTCAGTAGCACCCTGGCAACCACACATTAACACCATCACATCTCTTTGTCTCATGTGAGGGATTTTGTCACAGTAGTAGTGAAGATTGGTGAGCAATGAAAGGTGTTTCCATTTGTGTTATCCAGGAACTCTGCCTGGGTCCTAAAAAAAATCACATGACTGGACTACAGGATTTTCACTCGCTTTCCCCAGTATCTTAAATGTGCAGAAATGGCTCTGAGTTAACAAGGCTTCCCTTGTGGCTCAGCTTGTGAAGAATCTGCCTGCAATGCAGGAGACCTTCTTTCAACCCCTGGGTTGGGAAGATCCTCTGGAGAAGGGACCAACTACCCACTATAGTATTCTAGCCTGGAGAATTCCATGGACTGTGTAGTCCATGGGGTTGCAAACAGTTGGACACAACTAAGCGACTTTCACCTTCACAATCTGCAGATACTATGGGATGCTAAAACCTTTAATCAGTTTGACACTGACTGGGGCCTCTGGAGGAAACAGCTCTGTAGCTCTGGACAATTCCTGCAAAACCCTGATCATAAACAGCCAAACTCACATTCTTGGATGCAGCTTTAGAAAAGACCCTTTTATACCTGTTTGCTAGTCTCTTACTTCCTTTTAATGCCCTGATGCTTTCTGTATCAAGTATGATTCCCTGCTGATGTTTATAACCTAACACTTAGCAACACCAGCCTGCCCACATTATGGATATCATGGCATGACTCTGCTCCACCCACAAAACTTCTTCCCTTGAATTATACTGGGGGAATGATGTGACATCCCATGTGAGAAAGCGAACAATTTATGCTGCTCCAAAAACCACTGGTGGCTCTCACTTGTCCTCATCTCAGGATAACTTCAGGACCCACCTAAAATTCTCACACACAGGTCTCAACATTAGTCCCAAGGAACCCTGCAGTCCACCCCAGAAGGCCTTGGACAACAATGCAAAGTAGACCCAAACTAGAGTGAACACTATTCTCTGTCATGATACTATTCTCAGTGAGGAATACAAAAATTGGAACACACACAAATGCAGTGGCTTTAAAAAGTTTTTATTTATTAAAAGAAAAGAGAATTGGGCATCCTGAGTCTGGCCGTCTCGGAAGGAGAGGGTGGAGGCCGCGGCCAGCTGGAGGCGCAGTCATGCCCCGGTATTACGAGGACAAGCCGGAGGGCGGCGCGTGCGCGGGCGTGAAGGAGGATCTGGGCGTGTGTCTGCTGCAGTCTGATTGCGTGCTCAAGGAAGGAAAATCCCCTCGGCAGTGTCTGAAGGAAGGAAACTGCAAAGCTTTGAAATACTCATTTTTTGAGTGTAAGAGATCAATGTTGGATGCCAGATCAAGATTCAGGGGAAGAAAAGGATATTGATACTACTATGTTGAAACCAAGATGAAAACAACAAAGGACTCTGGTCATTAAACCAGAGAAGCCAAAATAAGAAACATACTTTTTGTTACATCTGTTCAGGTGGACCAGTTTTTTCCTCCATGAAACAAGAAAATGGATGAGTTCTGGTTTTCAGTAGGTATAAATGATTCTCTTGCTCTAAGTTATTCTTAGAATAAAAATTTAATTGAAAAGTTGTGAGCTGAGAACATAATAGATGTGTTTTAAGAACTGTTCTGAAGCACAGGGAATGGGAAGATTGTTAGTTTCCACTGACTTCTCAACCAGATGACACAATTTGTGCATCCTTTGTCAGTACTATGGAGGCCAGGGGTGGGACTGTGAGAATCAGCATGCAGCCTGATGAGAAAACATCCGTCTGGAAGGTGTAGGCTAAAACTTTCTTTTATTCAGATTGTACTATTTAGTTCCAAAATAAATTGTGTTTGACTGCTTGGTGAAAAAAAAAAAAGAAAAGAAAAGAGAATTGCTTAGAAGAAAGCACTTGTCAAGTAGGGTGACTTGAAGCTAGAAACATGTCATAAGCATGACATGACTCAATGCCATCGAAGAAAGTAAACCTCTGTCAGCAACCATCAGAACCCAGAGTGCATGTGCAAGGTCAAAGCTGCTTAGTTCCTTTCCTAGGCAGTTGATAGGATCCAAGAGCATGACACCACCCAAATGCTCAGGTTACACATGCTTTCCTTCAAGGAACCGGAGAGCACAAAGGTCTACCCACCCTGTTCACAGAGGGGACTGACGCCCATATGAGGATCGGCCACTTGGTAGAAAAAACTCACAATGACCAGAAATCTGGCAAGGCCGCTGCACAGGTTAGGAAGTAGATCTTAGCTTCTTAGAAACTTCCAATGAATCGGGTACCCACAGGCCATCTCCATACTAGGGCTGTGTAGGTGGATGGCATTCAACTTCCAGGTGATGATTCCCTCACAGAGCCTGTTGAGTAAGATGTATTCACTAAGGACACAGCTCACTTGCTGGTCTCTTCCTCTGGTTTGAAGGCCTTTCTCAAGTATGAACTTTGTGGTGATAGATGAGGTTAGACCTTCGGCGGAAACTTTCCTACTTGCTCTGTACTTTTGGGTCTACCTGTGCCGCAATGGTTCTGGTGCTTGGAGTAGACGTTTGACCAAAAAAGAAAAGGAAACCACCAAGTTTCCACAATACTGTACTTGTGAGGCCCTTCTGTGGTGTGAAATTTTCTTTTCCAGTGCTTCGGCTAAAAACTTCTCCACATTCAGTGCATTTAGGTAGCTTTTCTCCAGTGTAAATTCAGGTGCTTAATGAGACTAGTTCTATCCCTAAAGCATTTCGCACATTCACTACACTTATAAGGTCTTTCTTCAGTGTGGACTCTCTGGTGTTTAGTAAGAACAGACTTTTGGCTAAAACATCTCCCACATTTACTGCACTCAAAAGTCTTTGCTCCACTGTGAATTCTCTGGTGGCCTTGAAGGTGGGCCTTTTGCCTAAAAGACTTCCCACATTCACTACACTCATAAGGCCTTTCCCCACTGTGAATTCTTCTATGCATAAAAAGGCTGGAGAAGTACCTAAAGGCTTTCCCACACTCACTGCACTCATGAGGCCACTCTCCAGTGTGGACTCTCTGGTGTTGCTCAAGCATGCGTTTACAGGTGTAGGTTCTCCCACACTCTCCACATTCATAAGGCCTCTCTCCGGTGTGGACTCGCCGGTGCTGATCAAGTTTGGTTTTAGTACTGAATGTTTTCCCACATTCACTGCACTCATATGGTCTGGCTCCAGTGTGAATTCTCTGGTGCACAACAAGCTGGGAGTGTTGCCTAAAGAATTTTCCACATTCTCTGCACTCATAAGGCCTTTCCCCTGTGTGAATTCTTCTATGTATAGCAAGGCTGGAGCTGCATCTAAAGACTTTCCCACACTCGCTGCATTCATAAGGCTTCTCTCCGGTGTGGACTCTATGGTGCTGAGCAAGCCTAGACTTCCGGTAGAAGAGTTTCCCACACTCATTGCACTTGAAACGCTTTTCTCCATTGTGAAACTCTGCTACAAACTCCATCATTTGTGGTTTAACCTGGTGCTGGACATGGCCAGAGCCACCAGGGAAATCCTTCCTCACCTCCTGGCACACAGAAGCCTTCTTCAATGCATGGACTGTGCAGTTCTTCATTAAGGCCTTACCCAAAACTCTTCTCATGAGTTTCTCTCCACCGTGCTGGTGGGATTTCACATCTGTCCCACACAGTGTCTGGCCAGGGTTTGTTCGCAGGACCTCGGGTACACACAAACCACCTTCTAAGGCCAGGTTACCCATCTCCCAGGGACAGATCTTCTGGCTGGACAGGTCTGTCTTTTGGGTATTTCTCTGCAGCACTTCTACAGAAACATTCTCTGCTGTATGCCAACACCCTGAAATTAAAAAGAAAACCTGGTAGTGAACTTCATGGAGAAAAATGTACAAAGAGGCAACTCCATCACAAATTTGTGTCTGACATAGAAAGATTAAATCCAACAGGAAAAATGAACTGTGGGCAGGACAGGAAAGCCCCGATCTGCTGTACTGGGCCTCTGCAGATCACAGAATAGGGAAGATTCACCAGGCAAACATACAAAGATGGGAAGTAGTGCAAAGAGCCACAATCAGACAATATACTCCTATAGAAACAGTTTTCACCAGGGCCTTGGCTGCTGGTGACACATGTGTGCTGTGTGGAAAGCTATGTCCAGGCCCAGGATATTCTGACTGTCACTGAACAGCTGGTGTTCAGGACTATTTCAATGCTAGATGCAGGCCTCGTGACACATTAAGCATAGGTGAAAAATGGAAAGCATGAGAGTGAGGATGCTGAAGAATAATGAGGAGTGGAAGAAAGAGATATGAGAGATAATCCTGGGTTGGAAGCTAGAGTAGAAATCACAGAAGGAATCTGTCAGGAGCTGAAGAGAAACAGAAATGAGATAATCAGTCACTGGTTGTGGACTGTAAACAGCATTGGGGCCAGGGGAGGCTTCAAATTTTATTTGAACCTAGCCATATCATCTCCTCCCCATGCTGCCAATCACCAGGACCAGACCCACTTTGAGCCCTTCTTCCTGTCGCTAGAATCATGTCCACTTTGGTCCTATATACCAAAGATTCTCCACCCAACTCCAACTGGACAGTAACATGGGACCTAGAAGATGTAAGTGCTAAGAGAAAGAAAGGACAGGTGAGTGGTCAGTAATGGCTCAGGAATCCAAAATAATAGTACAAAGAATCTTCTATGATGGTTTCACAGAAACAGCCAAGAGTACCTCTTAAATAGGGACCATGTTGGATCCCAACAATTACTGGAATAGTGAGCCCCAGGAAATGTCAGCTGGAAGGGAAAAGACTCTGGAGGACAGAGGTGCAGAGGTCTACAGAATCAACTTACCATGCAATGGTTGAGAGAAATGGAACTCACTGAGCTGATTCAAATCATTTGACCTATAAAAGCTTCACTGAGAAAATTTCAGAATAGCTGGTGTTGGGGCTACTTGTAAGCATTAAGAGAGAGGTGCCCACTGTCCAGCTGTTAAGACAAACAGACTTGCCTTTGGAGAAAGGGGAAAGGCAGAAAACTGGCCAGAATGCTAGGACAGGGGTGAGGGCCTTACCCAGGGATGCAACCAGTGCGAAGTTCTCCAGCATAACATCATGGTACAGGAGTCTCTGGGCCTCACCAAGGAGCCTCCATTCCTCTTGGGAAAAGTACACAGCCACGTCGTCAAAGGTCACAGGGCCCTGGGATGATGGGGACAGTGTGTGCATAAGCAGCCTCTCTCCCTAGGACCCTGTAAGTACCCTAACCCCAGTCCATACTCTGGACCACAAAGTTGGCATACCTCCTGTCTCCTCATAGACCCTTCTGCACATGGCAACAGAAAATCCTTGTCAATGTAACAGGTTCCCACCACACCCCAACTCTTCACTGGTAGCTCCCCAGCCCTGTTCTGAAGGTTTCCCTACCAGCCCTTGGTCCTGACTTTATCCTCAGTCACAACATACATATCTAGATACCCCTGGTCCAGCTACACTTCCATACTGCACATTATGTCTTTTCAACAGGTACAGGTGTTATATGAACACACCTGCTTGACACATCTTCAGTAAACTCATCTGACATCCTGTCACAAACTTCCCAAGTTCGACCACAAAAGCCAGGTGAGTCACAGGAAGGGAAATATGCACCAGCCTGACTTTGCTATCACTTCTTCTCCATTTCTGCTTTCATTCTGCATCAATTTCAAAGCCATTCTCCCAAAGAAACCTGACCTACTATCTGGACTTCCCCTTCCCTTCTCGCTGATGACCACTCCTCTTGTCTGTCTGGTGACAGTACCCCCTCTCCTCCTCTGTCCCCTAATGGCATCCTGAAGCCTCCCCAGCACTCTAGATCTACATGTTCAGTCATCCACTTGTCTCCTACACTTGGGAGTCACTGGAACATCTGAGGCTCAACAGGGCTGAAACTCAATTTCTAATACTCTCACTGAAAACCACTGACTTTCCCAAATCAGTTGATGACACTTCCACTCTTCCAGATGCAAATAAAAAGACTTTGGAGGCATGTGAGCCCTCCATATTGGAAAATCTGGTTAGCCTCTACTTAAAATCCAAATATTCCTCCTACCTTTACATCCACCACTTTGACCCAGCTATAACCAATGCAAATCTGGAAAATTAAGACAGTCCTTTGATTATCTTTTTTTCTTTGATTTTCTCTTGTCTTCCTCTCCCCCAAGTGATTGTGCACTCTGCAGCCAGGCAGCCTCTTAAAACCTAAGTCACATCACTTTTCCTCTCCATTCCAAAAATTCTATTTCCACTATCATTCTCAGAACAGAAACCCATCTTCTTATACTATCAGTCTACCCTAACTCTTGTCCCCTTGCTCTCTGTTCTTACCAGACTTTTAACAGAGACATACAAATTCTAAAACAAACCCATCTCAACTGCATGCTCAAGCATCTGTGTGGACTTTCCCATGAACTTAAGACAACTTCTCAGTCCAGTGGGTGCCCAAAATAGAAATCTCTTCAAGTTATCTCTGACCTGGACTTGTAAACCTGGGCTGAGGGTTTCTGAACGGTTTCCAGGTACCAAGTCCAGGAACAATAGCAGCAAAACACTTCCAGGACCCCCGACACTCACCAGTGAACAGTCCATAAGTGGTTCCGCTGAACGTGGAAAGAGCAGGGCAATGTAACTTTAATTTCCACCAGCTACATAAACAAAAAAGATGACTAACGAGTGAACCATTTAACATTTAAGGCAAAGACAAATACTCAAGGGAAAACGAAAGCATGTAGAAGATGAAAGAAAATGTTATGGAGTTATGCAATAAAGTCATGTGGATATCTTGAGAAAAGGTTTTCCGAGAGTGGGACAAATAAGTGCAAAGCCTATCAGTCATGTCTGATGTGCCTGAGTAGTATCCACGAGTCTAGTATGACTGGAGCTCAATGATCCAGAAGAATGAGATATCAGGTTGCAGATGAAATGCTGTGGCAAGTCATATAGGACTATTATAGCTCTGTGTGTGCATGCTCAGTCACTACAGTTGTGTCTGACTCTCTGTGACCCAATGGACTGTAGCCCTCCAGGCCCCTCTGTCCATGGGATTCTCCAGCCAAGAATACTGGAGTCAGTTGCCATGCTCTCCTTAGTGTTAGTCACTTAGTCATGTCTGACTCTTTGTGACCCCATGGACTATAATCTACCAGGCTCCTTGGTCCATGGGATTCTCCAGGCAAGAATACTGCAATGGGTTGCCATTTCCTTCTCCAGGGGATCTTCCCAACCCAGGGATCGAACCTGGGTCTCCCACATGGCGGTTAGATTCTTTATCTTCTGAGCCACCAGGGACTCACTTGGGACCTTCCCTATTCAGAGATCAAGCCTGTGTCTCCAAGATTGCAGGCAGATTCTTTATTGCTGAGCCACCACGGAAACCCCTATTATAGCTGTAAGCCAGGTATTAATATATCAAAATTAAGTATATCTGTTTCTGACACTTCCATTTGACTGGCTTCTTCTCTTTTCTCCCTTGCCAATAAAACATTTTTCTGTTCTCATAGATTACTACAGTTTGACCTAACTTCTGAACAGTTTATGATTCCTTTTCCAATTTTACTTTGGTAATCTTAAAAATTACTTTTAAAAAAATTGCTATACACTAAATTCTGATCTAAAATTATTAGAACATTATATAATAGAATTCAAGATGTTCAAACAGACTAAAACAGAGTTACAAGAAAAAAATGGGGCCAGAAAATTAATCTGTGATAAAGGGGTTGTTGCTAGAATCTAAAACTGCCTGGCTTCCAACAGTTTGAGATAACTGGACATCACTGATGACTCTTCAAACCCAAAACAGAAAAAAACCTATAGGACCTGACCTTTATTCCACCCTCATTATATAAACATGGAAGTATCTTCTTGGGTTCTAAACATCTTGATAGGAATTTCAAGCATTATAACATTCTATCATCACAATGATTAATTTAGTCTCCCTGAAAACAAGTATTTTAACAAGATATGTTAATCATTTTCTCTTCCAATATCATCAGAGGACGATGACTTAATAGTAAAATAAGTATTACTAGCAGAATGCGATCACTAAAAAAGCAGGAAAAAAAATTAAAAAGCAGAAAACCTCCAAGTGGCTGTATACTGTAAAACTGTTAACTTTACATAATGCATGAGTGTGTATGAAAATACAACTACAGGATCCATTAGTAAGTACAATCATCTCATTCAAAGAACTAAGCTAAAATTAATAACATGGAGCAAAAGATCAAAAAGTGGAAACGTTCATTTAAATACACACTAACAAGGTAAGGCTAGAATAGCAATGATTATAAATACTGAAAGCAGAGAGAGAGAGACAGAGAGAGAGAGAAAGCCTTCAACAGCAGGATTTATAGACATTTTACTCACTC